AGCCCTGCACAGCCCAGCTGAGTGTCCAAGCAGGAGTCCCGGTCTAAGGAGGGGCTCAGGAAGCTGAGGATGTGTTCTCAGCGTGGTGGGAGCCCCTCGCTTTCATTGTTCTTCCACTGAGAGCACCCAGCACAGGAGGACCGGGACTCCAGACTGGTGGGGAAAGGACAGGAGCATTTACACACAGCCCACCCCCACAAACTGCAAGCTCCAGAGGGCTGCTCCGCTTGGCTCCTCCCAAGGGGGCATCTCCCTGCATCCTGAGCATCCTTGGTCCCAGGCCCCATTCCGCTGCACATTCCCCTGTGCCAGCTACACCCACGGGCTTTGTCAGGTTGTCTCCCTTTTAGTGAAGTACACGTCTGGTGCATCACAAATGCTGAGGCTGCTGAGCATCCCGAGCAGATGGCTGGCCGCCTGAGTTCCTGGCTGCACACAGTGAGTTCTCCTCCCGACCTCTCGGGCCAGCCCACCAGGCTTCCTCTGTGTTCTACTCACTCCATGTGCTCAGCCCCTCTGTCCAGCAGGGCCTCTTGGTCCCCATCTCTACAGTGTGAGGGTGGAACACGAAGGCTGGGGAGTTGCCCAGATCCCATGGTTGGAAGTGGTGGAGCTGGGATTGGACCCAGGTCAAGAGCGCCACACGGGAAAGCAGGTCTGGGCCAGCTGATGGCATAGGGGTGGCTGCCCACCCCGCCTGAGAGCCCGGGTGCTCACCGCGTCAATGGCCGTCAGCTGTTCTGCCACGTCCCTTGGGGAGAAGGCCATGAGGCTAGGCTTCCCATCGGGCTGCTTCTTCCCGGTCACTCGACAGGGGTGGGAAGCCTCTGGAACCGGAGCTGATTCTGCGTGTTACTGGAGCCTGAGGTGGAAATCCCAGCAGCCCCTTGGTCCCGTTGAGTCCAGTTCAGGACCTGGCACTTGGGCTGGGGTGCTGATGCACTCGCTCGGGGTCTGGAGCAGCTGAGGGCGCTGCTGCCGGTTCCAGCGCTAGAAGTGATGGCAGAAATAGAACTGGAGTTCCGTCCAGCTCCAGATGTGGCCCCTTTTCTGCTCTGCACCTGGCAGAAGTGCTGGAGCTGGGCAGGAGCTGGAGAAAGAGAAAGGGTCAGCTACATAAGTTGCTTTCCATGTGCCTTTCCCCAAACAGGAAAGATCCCACTGTCTTTAAATGAATCCCCAGTCGTGACCCACCCACTGGGGTAGTCTTCCAAGCCTACGGTCTCCCTTACCCTCTGTCTCCAACTCAGTGGCCTGGAAAAGGTCCACCTGGATGAGAAGAGGGGTGGCCTGGTGCTTCAGGACTGAGCCAGGCAAGAGGTCCTGGAGATACGCCAACGTCAGGTTGATCCTGGAGTGGCAGCATCTGCCACATATCCTGGGAGTTCTCCTGAGGCCGGGGGCCCCAGATGGGAGAGAGGGCACTGGGGAGAGGCTGTGTGAAGAGAGTCACAGGCCTGGCCTGCTGTTCCACACTGTGTTCCCACAGCACCTTCTCTGTGCCTGAGCCCCAGAGGGTGGACCAGCCACTCCAATCCCTGGGTGGCTGTCCTTGCACTGGAAGGCCTGGTCATCAGCCAATCTAACAGAGAGCCTGTGTGAGTCTGGTCTTCCACCTGACACTCTTTTCCCAAAGGGCCTGGACATAGCCTGCCCCATCCTCCACGCTCGAGCATCAGGACTGAGGTTGGAGGCAGATTTGTGACCAGGCTGCTCACCACCTACTGTTCTGGGCCCCAGTGGCGGTGCTTAGGAGAGGTGCATGTGCAGAGGGCAGGGAGAGGGAGAGGGAACTGTGGAAGCGAGGAGTCTCTCAGTGGCCGACTCAGCCCAGCCTCTCCTCTGCTTCCCATGGCGGGACTGGCACCCATGAACAGGTCTCTTTGATTCATTTCCTCCTGTAGGGAAGACCGCAGACCTCAGGCCTCCCACAGAAACCCCAAGAGGTGTGAGATCCAGGGTCTGCCAGTCCATCCATAGCCACAGTCCCCATGGTCTCCTAGCCCCTTCTGTGGACACAGGAGGCCCTCCCTCTGGACCCAACACCACTCATGGTCTTAGTTGGTCCTTGAAGTCTGTCATCGTGGTCTGACTATGAGAGGATGCGTCCATATCTAGAGGAGGCCAAGAGGGTGTGACATCTAACGTCCTCTGGGCATGAATACTCACGATGCCCAGAAGTGAGCTTCTAGCTCTCAGGCTAGAATTGAGCCCCAGGGATAGTGTCTGCTTCCTTCATTGGACATCCTTAGTGTGTAGGAAAGGGTATGAATGTAGTAGGAGCTTAACATATAGTATTGAATGAATGAACCCCATCCAGAGCCTTCCCAGAATTCTGAGTGGGCCTGCGCTCCTCTGCTGCCCACAGAGACCACTGCTCTGGCCGCACCGAAGACAAGGACCAGGATCAGCTAGATGGACTCGCTAAATTGTCTTGCCAATAGGAAAACAGTTTGCTTTCATGTACTTTTCCACACTCAGGAAGGCCACAGGCCAGCGAGGGGAGAGGCAGGGAGTCTCCTCACTGGGGACGGAAGCTGTAAGCGTGAGGACACGCAGCATGAGCAGCAGCCCCTTCTGTGGAGTCCGGCACCAGGCAAGCGTCTGCCGTGCTTTCTCCCGTGATTTCCTTCAGTGACCCTGTGAGGTTTACCTCTTACCACCCCACTATTCGGATGAGCAAGGTGACGCTCAGAGAGGTGTGGGGACGTTCCCAAGGCACACGTTTATTAGGTGGAGACTCCCTGCTGTGCTGTGGAGGGGTGGGCACTCACCTCTGGAGCAGCTGGTCCAGGACCTGTGGGGTCGGGTAGAAGGCCTGGTACACACACGGGAAGGTGGTGACGGAGATGGATCTGCCGTGGAAAGATGGTTGCAGGCAGCCTACCACCTTCTGCACTGCGCCTGCCTTGAGGGTCAGCATCGTGCGGGCCTCAGCCACGGACAGGGTGGGTTCCTTGGCATACCACGTGGACAAGGTGGGACACAGTGTTAGTGGCCATCACCAGGAACCACCAGGAGCATCAGGGTCTGGAGCTCAGACCAGAACCTCCCAGCACCTCAGGAAGTTGTATAAGAGGGACGAGAGCCCACCTGGGAAATGGTTTTGGACTTCCAAGTACAATTTGATTTTTAGGGGAATGACAAACACTTAGTACCTTCAAGGCATTCTGTGACCTGAGGAACAATCGCACCTCTGTGCATTAAGAGCCTGTGTTAAGAGCATTATCCCAGGGAGTCATCAATAAACATCCCCACCACAGACATGAGCAAAGAGACGATTAGTGACCTTCCGCCAATCTGCGGTTCTATGTCATGGCAGACCTAGAAAACTCTGAGTCTATTGGGACACATTTAAGATGTGCCCTGCAGCGTGTTGCTCAAATGACAACAGATATTGGGTCATGTCCAGGTCCAACAGCATTGAAAGACTGAATCACTGAGGAAAATGTCCTCCTATGTGGAATTATGATGAAGTCAAAAAGGCCTCAGCTCCTGACCTGAGTGGCCTATGATGAGTTGATGTGTTTCGTGAATGCGAAGTTGCAGAGGAATGTATAGGATCCTGTAATCCACCCCCATCCTCTTTGTGTGTAATCAGCCTAGCACGTGTGATGATTTGTGAGGCTTGGAAAATGTCTGCAAGGACAGTGGCCTGAGTGCTACACAGCTTCCCAGCCGGGCAGCTACATCAATCCAAACGGGAGCAAAATGCTAAGGTCCTCATGGCCTCGTGAAAAGTGATAACAACGTTAAACATTTCCTCTATGATTCCAAGAAACATGTGAAGAGTGTCTTTCCACCTTACCCCACAGCTGGCTGGGGAGGAGAGGAGGCCCAGACTCCTTCAGGAGCAAGGCCGTAGGACACTCCATTGGGAAAGCCCTGTGAGGGCCCCAGGGGTGTGCTCAGATTCAGACCTGCGTTCCAGGCCCACCCTGAACATCTTGGGGTGGTGGGCAGGGAGAACCTCTGCTCCTGCTCTCACCTCAGACCGGGCACAGGATGTTGCTGGTGGCCTGCTGCTCCTGCCTCTTGACTAGGGGAGGGAGAGAAGTCGAACCCGTCACATAGCTTTTCAAAGATCTCCCTGCGTGGAGTTCTGGAAAGACAGTGCCCGGCAAGACGGTCCAGGGAGACATCAGGAGCCTGCTGGACATCGCCATAGGGGGACAACCCCATGAGAATTTCTGTTCCCTAGTTCAGGCACACAGGGACATCTGCACAGACATCTGACCAGGGAGGGAACTAGATGAAACTTCTAAGGTTCAGGATTAACACAAAGGCAGAGGAGCTTGATACCCAGCACCCACCTGCTCAGGCTGCCAGCCTGAGGTATGAATATCAGAGACTCACCAGTTTTACAGCACGTAACAAACTGCTCTGATTTGAAGTGTTTTGTGAGATGACAAGGTGCAGAGAAATGTATAGAATCCTGTAATCCACGCCCATGCTCTTTGTGTGTAATCAGCCTAGCAAGTGTGATGATTTGTGAGGCTTGGAGAATGTCTGCAAGGACAGTGGCCTGAGTGCTACACAGCTTCCCAGCCGGGCAGCTACATCAATCCAAACGGGAGCAAAATGCTAAGGTCCTCATGGCCTCGTGAAAAGTGATAACAACGTTAAACATTTCCTCTATGATTCCAAGAAACATGTGAAGAGTGTCTTTCCACCTTACCCCACAGCTGGCTGGGGAGGAGAGGAGGCCCAGACTCCTTCAGGAGCAAGGCCGTAGGACACTCCATTGGGAAAGCCCTGTGAGGGCCCCAGGGGTGTGCTCAGATTCAGACCTGCGTTCCAGGGCCACCCTGAACATCTTGGGGTGGTGGGCAGGGAGACCCTCTGCTCCTGCTCTCACCTCAGACCGGCACAGGATGCTGCTGGTGGCCTGCTGCTCCTGCCTCTTGACTAGGGAGGGAGAGAAGTCGAACCCGTCACATAACTCTTCAAAGATCTCCTGCGTGGAGTTCTGGAAAGACAGTGCCCGGCAGACGGGCCAGGAGGCATCAGGGCCTGCTGGACATCGCCACAGGGGGATACCCCCTCGAGAAATTCTATTCCTTAGTTCAGGCACACAGGGACATCTGCACAGACATCTGACCAGGGAGGGAACTAGATGAAACTTCTAAGGCTCGGGATTAACGCAAGGGCAGAGGAGCTTGATCCCCAGCACCCACCTGCTCAGGCTGCCAGACAGGCCCTGGGGTATGAATATCACAGACTTACCAGGCTGACAGCACATAACACTCTCCTCCTGCCCAGGAGGGACCCACTCCTCACCTGCTGCCTTCCCTGACAGTGCCCATGCGCGCACACACACACACACACACACAGACACTCACACACAAACACTCACACAGGGGGCAAGGGCTATGGGGCTGCTCAGGTGGGATCAGAGTTGTGTCCTGCCCTACATTGGGCTGCTCTGGGCTGCCCCACATTACCTTTGGGTACCTCCTGCCAAATGGCCTGTGGCTCCGAGGATGAGGGTTAAGCCAACTCCTACAACAACACAACAGTCTCACACTCTGGGCTTTCCTGAGCCTAGAGCCTCTGAAAACTGGGCCACAACAAGCAAACATGTTGTTGTCTGAAGTGTGTCCAGTCAAATGAGCTGGCTAGGGGCCTGTGTCTAGAATGTAACTGCCTGGTTACAAGAGTTCTAAGTCTGTTGGGGTCTATCGCCAAGGAAGTGAGGTCACGTTTTCAAGATTCCATTACCTGGGCTGCTTCCTGTAATCAGACCTAACCAAACCACCCTCATGTCATCTTCTTAACTATACATGAGGAGCTTCCACAGCCCCAGCCACAGCTGCCTGGCAATGTCATGAGGGTCCCAGCTTTGAGGAGGCAGAGCAGAATTCAGACCTCCTTTATCTTACCACTTCTCTGTCCAGGAAACCTCATTGTGCCTCTCAGGGCCTCCCCAGTCTCCAAACCCGCACAAGGGGAATCCGCCTAGAATATACTTGCCAGGGACATCATCAGGTGTATATGAGATAATATCCATACCACCTGTGAGGTCGTGTCAAGTGCAAGTAATGCACAAACAAAGAGATGGAAGAATTACGAGAAGGGATGTAGCATGAACACCACTCAAAACAGGCCTGGGGTCAGCAATGCGATATTGCAACAGGCAACTCCTCTCTCGGCCTCATTTCAATGTCAGCACAAGGAGAGGGTTGCTGAATGAAATCCAGACACTGTCATCCTCTGGATTCAAACCTCTCCATTGTTTCCTCTTCTATTTAGAAAGAGACCCAAGTGCCACATGTTGAACTATGAGGTGGGCAGCCTTCACAATGGCTCCCAGAGATCCCCACCCGTGGTACACACATCCCTCACAGATTCCTGTGTGACCACTGAGTGCTTAGTGACTGGCTGTCACCAATAGAACACAGCCGGTCTGGACGGATGTCATGCCTAAATTTTAAACACAAAAAGTCTCTCACTTCCTTCTTATTTCCTCTCTTAAGTTCCACCTCTCTCTTCTCTCTCTCTTTCCCTTCTCTCTCTCTCTTCCCTATCCCTGAGCTGGGGAATCAAGCAGAGATGTTTTGAGCTGCCATATACAGAGGCCCACGTGGGAGGGAACCGAGGCAGCACCCAGGCCAACAGACAGAAAGTAACCCATCCTCTGAGTCCAAACTGTACCCTGAATCCTTTGAGGAAACCTGGGAGGAAATTCTCTGCCAGTCGAGCATCAGCTGAGGTTGCGGCCCCGGCCTTGAGGCATCTTGAGCAGAGGAACCAAGCTCATGTATGTCTGATTCAACCGCAAAAATTGTGAGATAGGAGGCATTTGTCCTTTTCAGATTCAAGGCACTGGAACTGTGATTTCAGGCCCCAGGATCTGGCATTGCCCCCTCCTTCTCTGCCCCCCAGGCTTCCTCCAGCCACACTGGCCACCTTTCTCACATCCTCTGGCCAAACCCCCTTCTGCCCATGAGTGTCTGCAGCAGAGGTGCCTTCTCCCTGGCACGCTGCTCCCAGACTTGTGCAGGGCTGGCTCCCTCTTGTCATTCTGGTCCCAGCAAATGTCACCCCAGTGAGGCCTTTCAGACCCCTACCCGGTGACCCCCAGCCCTCCCTCACAGGCGCCTGAATGTCCCCAAAACACTGGCTCTTTCCTCTCTCATGCGTTTGCTTTCATGCTTTTGTCCTTGTCCCCTCCAGAGTGTGAGCTCCTGACTGGCAGGGACCACTCAGTCGTCGTCAGCCCTGTACTCAGACCCACCTGAGCACCTGGCACAGGGTGCGTGCTCGGTGCACAGTCGCTGAGTGAAGAATTGTGAAACTCGTGTCCCCTCCTCCTGCTCTTCACCAAGTCAGACTGTGGAGAGGAGCGCTAGTACCAGGAGGAGTGAGTTCTCTCTGAGGCGGGGGACAGCCGGAAAGGCCTCTGCACGGCTATTCGCTACTCCAGCAGCTGAAGCAGAGCTGAGTGGGCGCCGTGTAAGTTTAAGAAGTCAGCACAGGGACTCGATGCACACAGACTGCACAATAACACCACCAGTTCACTTAACATCCATCACTGAGAACAGAAAAATAAGCGTTTCCTTGTGATGAGAAGTTTAGCTTCTTTGTTCTTAGCAACTTTGAATGTACCACACAGCAGTGTTAACTTAGGCAGTGTTGTGTGTCAATTACATCCCAATAGAAGTGACAACAATTAAAACCCAACCCCAGCGGGCACCACTGACGCTGCAGGCTGCCTGCCTCCTGGTGGCCAGCGCCAGCACTGCAGCCCTGGCAGAAGCCAACAAACAGGAAGGTTTCTTTGGGTGTCCTCAAGGCAAAGGCTCCCCACTGTCCCAGGGGTAAAGGAGCAGGACCTGCAGGCTTCCAGACCATGCAAGGAACCTCAGCAGCCTCTCTCTCCCCATCTTTCTGTCCCTCCACTCGGGTGTCCTCTTCTCTCAGGAGGCATCCTAACCTCAGCCAAGGCAATGATTTCCCTCTCCTGCCAAGTGAGGACCTCAGGACTCCAACAAGGACTGGTCTTGTCCCTGGACTCTGGACTCAGTGTACACTGCTCTGGCATGTTCTTCCTTATCCCAAGTTCTCATCCACCCAAGCCCCCAAGCCTGTCTCAGTTCTAAAGGATCTCCAGCAGGTGGGAAAGCATTTTCTCAGGTGCTCAGAGCACAGGGCGTCATCGATGGAGAACCAAGGGCCACAGACACTTCGTGAGCATCATACGGAACCCAGGGAGTCACCCACTGGATGCACTCCACTTTACACAGGAGGACACCAATGTCTTCTCTCCTCTACCCAATGTCTACACAAGAGGAGAACGGCTCATCAGAGTAGCAGGTGCCCGCAGAAGTAGACTCCAGCTCCCCAGTCCTGTGCCCTCCAGGCTAGGCCAGGGATGCCCTTGGAACAGGTACACACCTAGAAACCTGAGGGATTCTTCAGTCCATCTCGGGCCTTCTGGGCATGTAGCCAGGAGGATGGATGCTACTGTTCATGGCAGAGCTGCCTCCGACTGCCTTCTCCTCGGCCTCTTGTCACTTCCCTGGTGTCTGCTCTTTCCTGGGGTCCCTGCATGGTCCACACAGGAGAAATCGGTGTGAGTGTGCCTGTGCATGATTGGATGCGAACAGGAAGACGACCCCACATGGACAGGGGTGGGCAGGGCTCCCCTAGGACCATGAGGTCCCTGTTTCCAAAGAAAACCCGAAGGAAAGAGGTGGAGCCTTGGCCAAGGAAGCCAGAGCCCTGATTGATCCTCTGGATTCTGAACCCCTCCTGAGGTCTGGGTCAGTCCCTCCAACTTTCTGGGCCTCAGATTCCCAAATGGACAAAGAACACGTTTTGTAAGAGCAAAGTCAAAATGGACCCTCTGCAAATGAAACAAGTACCATGCTTTGACCTCCCCCCACTGTTTATCCTCCAAGGAGACTTAGAACCTACACGGTGTCTTCTACTGGGTAAGATCACCCTCAGCACACAAAAGTGATAATGGTTGAAATGGCACACGGTCAACTTTATCAGTGACTAAATATTGATGGAAGAAGAAATACATCTGAATATATTTTGATATGACTGATGACATTCAGGAAAGTTAACTTGCTGGAAATAAGAACACCTAAACAAAACTTAAAATGTCAGAACCTGTAGTCAGTACATTATGATGTAGATTAAAACAAATTCAGCCATTTGCATAACAATTAATTGATTGAGAAAAAATAGATTCAGTGAATTAATAATAAAACGGATACACTGGGATTGTTTTATGGTGCTTATTTTATAGGAGTCAAGGAATTAATCATACTATATTGCATTTTGAAAGTTGCTAATAGCATAAATCTTAGAAGTTCTCATCACAAGAAACACATTTGTAACTCTTGATGATAGATGTCAACCAGACTTCTTATAGTGATCATTTCACAATATACACACATATTGAATCATTTTGATGTAGACCTGAAACTGATATAAAACAAACTTAAATTTAATATTAAAAATGTCTTACTATGTTTTCTCTGAAAAATACATTGTAACAAAAATTTTGAAGAGTTTTGTCTAATTCTGATTTCAAGGTTCTCTTAGGCCCAGAATGAAAACGTTTGCCTGATCAAAGTTGCCTCAGGTACAAGGGCTGAGACAAATACCAGGGTCAGAATGGAAGAGCACGAATGGCAAGACTAAATCATCCTCTGCTCATTTCTTTGTATTTGCACTTTTAACCGATAATATATTTTTATTGGCTTAAAACTTACCATCTTGGCCATTTTTCGGTGTGCACATCATTAAGCACATTAAGCTCCTTACGCGCATCTTCAGTGTGTTGGCCACAGTCGTATGCTGGTGCAGCCATCACCACAATCCATCTTCAGAACTCTTGTCACCCCACAGAACTGAAGCTCCGTCCCCACTCATCGGTCACTCCCCTTCCCCTGCTCCCACCCCTGGCCAACAGCATCCGCTGTCCGTCTCTCTGAATCTGGCCATTTCAGGAATGCCATATAAGTGGGGTCACACAAGGCCTGTGTTTTTGCGACTGGTTGATTTCATTTAGCATGATTTCCTAAAGGTTCATCCATGTTGTCTCATATCTCAGAATATCCTTAGTTTTTAAGGATGAATAACACGCAATTGTATATATATATGCCCATGTTGCTTCTCCATTCATCCCTGGATGGATCCTTGGCTTGTTCCACGTTTCAGCGATCATGAACAATGATGCCATGAACATGGGTGTTCAAATATGTCTTTGAGACCAAGTTTTCAGCTCTGCTGTGTATATATCCTGAAGTAGAATTGTTGGGTCATTTAGTGATTCTATTTTTAATTGTTTTAATGAAATGCCATGCTGATTTCCACAGCAACTATACCGTTTTACATTCCAGCCACAGTGGACATGGGTCCAATATCTCCACATCTTTGCCAGCATGCCTTTCTTCACTATTTTTTTGGAGTGCCGTCACATGGATGTGAGGTGGTATCTCATTGAGATTTTGACTTACATTTCCCCAGTGATTAATCACATTAAGCATCTTTGTATATGCTTGTTGACCATTTGCGTATCTTCTTGGAGGAAAAGTCTATTCAAGTACTTTGCTCATTTTTGATTTGGGTTGCTTGTTTTGTTGTTGAGTTGAGAAGTTCTATGTCTATTCTGGATATTCAGCCCTTGTCTGATAGATCATTTGCAAATATGGACTCCCATGCTGCATGGGTTGTATTTTCACTCTGTTGATATTGTCTTCAGAGGCAGAAAGGTTTTTAATATTCATGAATTTTGGTGTGTGTACTCTGTTTTTTATTGCCCATGCCTTGAGTGTCATATCTATGAAATCATTGCCGAGTCCTATCGTGAAACGTTTTGTCCCATGTTTTCCTAAAAGAGTTTCAGTTCTTACATTTGGGTCTTGATCCATTGAGAATTAAGTTTTATATGTGGTGTGAGGTCAGAATCCAAGTTTATTTTTTGCATGAAGATATCCACTTTTTCAGGAACCACTGGTTGAAAAGACTGTCTTTTCCCCGTTGAACAACCTTGGCCACCTTATTTCTGGGCTCTCTATTCTGTTCCGATGCTCTATGTGTCTGTCTTTATGCCATTACAATGCTGTTTTGATATTGCAGGTTTGTAGCAAGTTTTACATCAGTAAAAAGAGAGTCCTCCAACTTAGTACTTCCTTTCAAGACTATTTTAGACATCTGGGCATACTTGAGATTCCATATGAATTTTAGGACGGGTGTCTTTCAGCACAAAATGTCATTGGGATTTTGATAAGGACTGCATTTAATTGGCTCATGTCTTTGGAGGAAGCTGACATCTTAACAACAAGGAGGCTTCCAATCCACGATCACAGGACGCCTCTCATTTCTGGTAGTGCCGGGTGGTTGTTCAGGTGGAGGGGACAGCACTCTTCCAAGTAGTCATGCAGGGTCCCAGAATTCCTCCACACTGTGCCTTCAGCATTTCCTCAGAACTCACCGACATCGGCCTCAAGTCAAGGGAGAGAAAAATGCGTGTCAAATGCATGTGGGAAGTTTTCAAGGACTGGGTGTGGATGTAGCACACGTCTGTGCCACCCTCTCCCCTGGCCAGAACTACGCGCAGAACCAGCAGACCCTAACAGTCGGCACTGCGGGCAGAATCAGCGGACCCCACCAAATTTGGGACTGTGGACTAACCAAGGGCTAGAGACTCAGTGTCTCAGGGAACCATATGCCAGCTCCAGCTGCCTGCTAACACTTTGACTGGCACTGTGGACGAACCCAGGGCTGAGACAGATGCTCTGCTAGAGCATCCTGCCAAACTACACTGGCCCGTTAACCTGCGCCTGGAAAGTCACTTAGCTCAGGAGCTCAATGCAGGGAGAGTGGAGCTGAGATGCACGAGACACTTACCCACAGCCCTCAGAGACAGCAAAAAAGACGGAGAATTCAAAGGCTTCATGGGTACCAATGCTTGTGTTTCTCATCCCCGAAGCCATGAGAAGTCTCCTTCCAATCCCGCTGCTGCCACCAAGCTGTTAGAAAGAAAATACAACTGTGTAAGTCTAAAGAACTTCATTGCTTTATTCACCAATTCCTGCACCCAGAGGCATCCAATCTAGCAGATAGAAAGGAGCTCCAAGGAGCTGTACAGAATGAAAGACTTTGAAAGGCAAAAGGGAGAAGAAAAAGAAGTCACAGCAGGCGGGAAGATCGCTCCGTTACTGCAAGGTTACTTTCCTCAGGGGACAGCAGCAGTCCATGACGTGGAATACCTATCTAGGGCTAATGGGACAATTCCTGACCCACTGGTTTAAGATTCTGTTTCTGGGAGAGTCGAAAATCTAATGAAGTCAAGACTCAGTTTGGTGACGTGGGGCTCAGCATAAGAGGCTCCTCTTGGTGCCTGCTGTCTGGTTTTGACACATGACTCTGCTGACCCCTACTGTCCCCGGGTACACCCGGGTTTCCCTTCCTGACCATTGTTGGTCACACATCCACTGCCCCTGCCTCCCGTTCTCCCCCTTCCACACCGCAATCCCCCCCATGACTCCCTCTGACACTATCGCGACTTCTCCCACCACACTGCCCTGCTTTCCACAAGGCCAGCAAGAGGCTTCGTAAGCACCACTTCCTCAGTCCAGAGGGCTGAGAGGGCTGCCCAGCATAGGGACTCAGAAACTGCTGGGCCTGTCACACGGCCTCCAATCACCAGTACCCCATCTGAAGTGCCTGCCCTGATGAGATACTCAAATTTAGCCAGCTCCATCGAACAGCATCTTTGCCCCAAGCTTCCCTTCAAAATGCTCCACCCATTTTCTGCCCCAGCTGTTTTTTGAGGAGTCATTTTGGGGGAGCCTTTGAGGCCACCTTGGTGATCTTGGCCGACACACCCTTTGATTGTATCACCTGGAATGGTAGAGCACAGGGAGCCAGTGGATGGGCACCAATCACTGGTTTGACCACCAAGAGCTTGTGAATATTTTACAGTGGGAACGTCCACTTTCGGGTCATCACACAGCGCTCCCTGGTACCCCGCTCTCCCCCACATCCTCTGACCAGCTTTCCCCAGGAGATGCTCTGCAGTACATCATTGTCTCCACGAACCTGCCCCTAGAGGTGTACCCCACAGGCCACAAGTCCCTGAGTTTCCTGCCTGAAAGGCTACCACCGACCCAAAGAGATATGTCTCTTCTACTAGGATGACTGGACTAGCATAGAGGAGTGGCCCTAGCCACAGAAAATCAGGTAATTGAGGCCACCCAGAAGTATGGACAAACATAACCCAACACGGACAGCAGCTCCATGAGACTCTATTCTACTCCTTGTGGGACAGTCGCCTAAGTCTCTGCCAAATGGTTTTAGGAACCCACCTGGCCTCAGACTATCTATACTGGCCAAGGAAGGAGGGGTCGGGGCCCTCCCATGGTCTATCACCTGCATGTACACCAACAACTGACAAGTTCAAACTTACCTACACCAGAGGGTCCAAGAGGTGAGAATATTGTCGAGTATCACCGAGATCTCTGAACAGATTCCCAGGGCCCACAAGACCACTGAGCTATTTTCTTGGTTGGTCTTTTCAAGGTGAAGACCATGACTATGGACTGGATCTCAGACTGTTGCTTGTGTGATTAGCGTACTTGCTACTAGACCCTAATCAGATGTTTACTCTCAGGGATACAACGTGCCTCACCCCTAATAGCTGCATGAATTACCCTAATTTCAAATTTTCACTGAAGAAAATCTGCTCAACATAAAATACACCATTTTAAGTATTTGAAAGTACACAAGTCACTGACTTTTAGGACAATGATAATGTTGTGTGGCTATCACTACTATCTAATTCCAGAACATGTTTAATACCTTGAAAAGAAACCACACTCACTCCCTCTGTGCTTTGCCCTAACCCAAGGCCATGGAAGCACCTCATCTGTTTCCTCTCCCTGCGGATTTGGTATTCTGGACATTTCATTCAAATGGAATCAAAGAACCTGTGGCTTTGTGTACCACTTCAATTAAACACTTCTTTTAAGGATCATCCAGGGCCGAGCACGTCGCAGTGCTTTCTTCCTTTTTAGGGCTGTGTTATACCCCACAGTACCAATGTGCCACATTTGCTTTATGTGTTCATAATTTGGTAGAAAGTTGGGTTTCTTTCACTTTTGGACTACTGCGAATACTGCTGCTTTGAATGTCCATGGACAGGTTTTCCTGTGAGTGACCATATGTTTTCCATGTTCTTTTGGAGATGCCTCACAATGGACTATCCAGCTCAATGGTTTGATTGCTCGAAGATCTTAAGAAATGCAAGGCTATTCTCTACAGTGGCTGCATCATTTTACATTCTCACCAGTGATGTAGGAGGGCTCCCCTTGCTCTTCATCTTTACCAACACTGGTGATTTTCCTTTATGTTGAATACAGCCTACATATTGAGTTCGAAACAGTAGCACATTGTGGTTTGAATTTCCGTTTCCCTAATCATGAATGACATCGAGCATCTCTCTTGTGCTTATTGGCCATCTGCATATCTTCTGGAGAAATGTCTATTTCAACCGTTTGCCTAGTTTAATTGTTTCATTTCTCTTTTATTACTGACTTCTAAGAGATATTTATGTATTCTGAAGACTAGATTATACAATTTGAAAGTCGGAGAATTCAAGACCCCACTTTCAACAATGGATAGAACATCCAGACAGAAACTAAGGACACGGCAGAAATAAATGACATTAAATACTAAGAACATTTTATTGAAGAGCAGCAGAATACACATTCTTCTCAAGAGCACACAGAATATTTTCCAGAAGAGATCATGTTTGAGGTCACAAAACAAATCTTAACAAAATTAACACGATTGAAATTATACCAAGTATCTGTCCTGAACACAATGGCATGAAACTAGAAATCAATATCGGGAGGAAACCTGCATCATTCCTGAGAGATGGAAGTTAAATAGCAGCCTCTTACACAGACATTAGGTCAAAGAGGAAATCAAGAGGGAAATTTAAATACAGCTCAAGGCAAACAAAAAGAATTAAAAACACAACAAAACTACGGGATGCAGCAAAAGTAATACTAAGAGGGAAGTTTACAGTGATTAGCTTGTAACATCTTAAAGAATGATCTCAAATTAACAACCTGACAACACACAGCACTAGAAAAAGGGAAAACTGAACCCAAAGTTAGCAGAGAGATGGAAGTCACAAAGGTGAGAACAGAAAAAAGGAAATAGAGGAGGAAGGCAAAAGATCAAAAGGATGAGCTAATGTTTTGAAAAAATAAAATGGACCAATGCTTAGAAAATAGAGTGCCTCAGAAAAGAGAGAAGAATCAAGTAAAGTAAATGAGAGTTGAAAGAGCAGGTCTTACAACTGATGCTTCAGAAATAAAAAGATCATAGAGATGCTTCTGAGCTCTGGCTCACTAACACAATGGGTGACCCAGCAGACCGAGTAAGTTCCTAGAAGCAACCTACCCAGTCTCACCCATGAGGAAACAGACAACTGAAGAGACCAGTGACCGATAAGGAGGCTGAGTCAGTGATCACAAATCTCCCACAAGGAGGAGAGGGAGTGAGGGCCCGACCTCATCGCAGACGCAGAGCCGGCCTGCCCAGCAGCAGGCTGACTCCTACGCATCTGCTGGCGCCCTGCATGCTCCTGCAGACCCAGGCCCCTGGCTCACCCTGGCGCACGCCAGCTCTAGTGGTCTCAAGCAGAGTCCTTGGCACCGGGGACTCAGCAGGCTCCAGAAACCCAGGACCCCATCTCAGCCTAGTGCCTGCCATCTTCAGCAGCCCGAGGTGGCTCCTGTGACCCCAAGTTTTGTCCCTGGGACCAGGCTCCTGGTGGGTAGTGGAGGATCCACACTGTGGCTGACGCAGTGCCTGCCTTCTCCCGTGGCCTCAGGCACCTTCCATGGCAGGGCTCCCAGTGGGTTCTGACAAACCAGGACCCCAGCTCACTCCAGCATTTACTGACTCCAGCGACCCCAGGCAGATCCCAGGGCACCAGGCTCCCGATGGGCTACTGGGAACTCAGGCCCATGTCTCACCAGGGCACCTTCCAGGTCCAGCAGCCCCAGGCAGCTCCCAGGGAAACAGGCTCCTGGCAGGCCCCTCCAAAACCAGGTCCCCAACTAACACATGTGCTTGCTGACTCAGGCGGCCCCCGACAGCTCCCACGGCACCAGGCACCAACAGGTTCCCAGGAACCCAGGCTTCCACCTTAAAACAGCACCTGCTGGCTCCTGCGACCCCTGGCTGATCCCATAGCTCCTGGCTCCCAGCTGGCTCCCAGGATCCCAGACTTCTGACCCACTCCAGCACATGCTGTCTCTCATGACACCTGGCTCTGCCAGACTCCCGTGAACAAAGACTCCCAGCTCACCTCAGCACCAACCAACGCCCATGGCCCCAGATGACTCCTGCCGCCCCCGGTTCTCAATCACCACGTGCAAACCCATGCTCCAGGGCTGGTACTCACCAACTCAGGTCCCAGCTGTGCCCAGGACCAGACTGGATGACATGCACCAAGCTTTCCACTCACCCCAGCACCGGGCTGCCCAAGGACTCCAGCAGCAAGCCTGCCCCGGGACCCCACCAGATGGCCCACATGGAACCCCGAGATGGGCTCACTGTGCCCAAGCCCGTCAGTAAAGCCTGGGAGAGGCGCCCACTTCCTCAAATTTTCTGACCTCACAGCAAGGCCACAAAGATCGTGAATAATCAAAGACCCATAACACCACCAAAGAGAATTATAAGCCTCCAATGTCTGAAGAAGAAATGGGGATATAAGAACTATCTGACCAACGCTTCAGAATACCGCTCTTGAAAAATTCAGTCAGCTATTGAATTCAGATCCCTACTAACGGAAGTTAGGAAAATCGGGCAAGAACAAATGAGATGATCAATACAGAAATAGAAATCATTAAGGCAAAACAAACAGCAATACTAGAGTTAAAGACACAAAGACTGCACTGAAAAATTCCATAAAGAGCTTCAAAATCAGATTCAACAAGGTAGAAGCAAGAAG